TGGCTGAACAGGCTGGGGTTGCTGGAACTGCCTGCACAACCCGTGATTGACATCAGCGCTCCCACCCCTCCCACCACCTCTGAGAGCACTCAGAGGTGCTCTTTTGTCTGCCCCTCCTTACTGCCCTTTCTATAAGATCTTTGTAACCTTTTCATACTTCATTTCAAGCAGCTGTAGAGAAAATCATAAACAAAATAGCAGGGGCAGGACCATTCAGCAGTATAACTGCTAAACTTGTGGCAAATGCTGGTTTTCCTTTTTCATTATTCTGCCAGCCTTACAACATCCTAAGTATAGCCTCAGGCCCTGCGGTCACTTCTGATCTGCCTCCCTTTTCTTTGCATGCAACATTGTTGGTTTCATGCTGGTAATCATGATTTCTTTATGGGATCCTTGTCTGTCCAGCTAGGCTTGGAATATGACCACACTTCTAGGTACGTCCATATTTTATATTCAAATCCACACTGCCTTTTGGGGAGCAATGAAGAACTGTGGGCAGGGAGGAGGAGAGGAAATAGAAGGAGTATTTCATGGCTGCACAGTGCTACACAACAGCAAGCTATTACTTTCCCTTTAGGACTTCTCATATATTCCGAGGCAGTGTGTGCTGCTCAGTTGTTAGCATTCTTGGCCACGCTGGCACTGCATTGTACACAGCCTGAGTAATTCAGCTGGCTTCAATAATGCCATCTATATTTAATGTTTCAGAAGCTGCGAAGATTGGTTTAAGATGGTAATTTTCTGTCTGCGCTTTTGAGATCTATGCAATATGGGTGGTACTGAGCTGTCTCTGGCAGCAATTCAGCATTGGAGTGGGAATGTGTGAAAAAAAAAAGAATCAAAATAAAACACACACCCTCTTTCGCCCCACATAATGAAATTAGCTGCCCACTTATTATGTACAGGGAGGATTTGATCCTCGTGAATGAAGGAAGCTTAACACAGAATAGTGATATCTACCATTTCTACGCAGACCAGTTCCAGAGCTGCAAAGGGAAGCAATGTCTTGCATTTGTTTGAGGGGTCTAAAATGCATTGATTGATCTCTGGACAGGCAACCAGGAGGTTAATTCTTTCTGGCTTTCACATCTCTTGTATGGAAATACCAGTAAGAGGATATTAGTGATGTCTGCCAGTCTGATCTGGTCCTACTACACAGCTCCATCTCCTAGGGTCAAGCTGGCAGCTGTGGTGACAAATGCTTTTGGTTGCATGTAGCTGAGCTTCCAGGCTGCTACTGGTGGAGCTCTGCAGGTGTCTCTCTTCAGGATCATCAGAGCTGTGATGAGCTCTGTGATGTGCTTTTCTGCTTCCTGACAGTTGCATTTTGATTCAGGGAAAAGACACTTGCCTAACATGCAAGGCACCCTCACAGGCCCAAAGAATTGCACACTGGGGACATGGAATAAAACAGAAATATGAGCCAGGTATTTCCTGGCTGTACAGCCATGAAACCAGTTCATTTCCTGATAAAACTGGGGAACTTCTGTCTGAATGGTGTGTCACAAAGCTAGGAACATCAGAGCCTAAAGGGAATGGCCAGAAATGTGAGACAAGATTGAAAGAATAGACACTTGTATAGCTGTGGTGCCCATCAGTGTAGTTGGTCGATTTCCTACACAGGAAAACTCTGGCAGAAAGGCTGTGTGAGATGGCAAAGTAGGTGAAACAGTATCAGACAGTATAATCATTGAAATCAAGAGTATTTTTTTATTTTGATTGATTTGCAAGAAATTTGAAGGGCAGAAGAAATATCTATAGGATCAATTTTTAATAAGCAGATATTCTGAATAATTAATACCTGAATCTTGGCATAATTCCTTATAATCTTTATGGAAAACCTGTCTGTTTATGAGCAGGCGTGACAGCACTCCCTGTTATGAAACTTGTCTCATTTCTGCCAGTGTAAGATCCTTTTCCCATTTGCTTCTAACTTTGCCAAACATCACGTGTTTGTGCTGAAATTTTAAGGCTGTTCATCTGTCTTAGGCTGATATTTCTTTCAGTCACATTTATTTCTTCATTTTCCCAAATGAGACTAAAAGAGAAAAATACACTGTTTGGCGGGTATAACTCCTTGTTACAACTTCTTGGTGGCAGCATCTACCACTCAGGAAAAAGAAATATCCAAACCCAACCCATGCAAAATTAGCAGGTTCTGCAGCTTTTAGAGATAAATACGAGGGAGAAAAAAAGAAAGTTAAACCCCCAAGGGATGGTTCCAAATTTTAAATGATTTTGACATCTCTGGAGGTTGAATGAGAAGGTCCCAGTCCTGTGAATGAAAAACCTTCAATATGACTGGGAATAGAATATCTTAGTTACAGTTACTCTGCTTTCCACCCCTGTGAAAATAGGGCACGTTTACTGGTTTTGGAGCCTATGCACACACAGTAAACCTTCAATAGTTGACAGTTTAACCACTAAGACTGCTAGAAGGTTTTATCTCATATCAAGCGCTTTGTAGCTCATACTCCAATAAGAATGCACACTCTTTTACCCCAGGGAAACTGAGAATGTTGGATATTTTCCTGGGATTCCTGTTCCTCGCTGGTCCAGAGCCAAGTACAAAGATGCAGAGCATCACATCTCCCTCTCTCTCTCATGCTCTCAGTCTCTTCCACACCAATTCCTCCCATGCTCAGACAGTTTTGGAAAAAAATGCCTTAAACGCAAAACAGGAAAAGTCAGGGTCAAAAGAAGAGATATATAATTAGACTAAATCACAGTGGGACATCACAGTTTGTGAGCTGATCTGCAATAAGTAAAACATGGACATGGAAGAACCATGGGGAGGGGGTGGGTGGGATAGAGAAGGAGGTTTAACTTCAGTTGTGTAAACAAGTTCAACCCAAGAGTCAATCTTGGTTTCCTCTTTGTAACAGTAATTCTGTAGTGAAAGGTTATTCAGGGGCAAGATGAACTGAAATCTCACTTGGGATCTTCCAGATGTGAGTTGATGTTGTTCAAAAGGATGGCCCGTAGGGTTTCTCCCAGAAGCTGGAGTAAAATTCTCTCAACCAGGTTGAAGGTGGAGTCTGGCCACACTGGTGAGACATAACTGCTCAAAGACTGAAATGGGGGCAAAGACTCCTTTCTCATTGTATGTTCAGGTGTGTGAGGTTAAACAGCTTGCAGCTGTGAAGGAGAGGACATCTCACCAGCTGCTATTAGCTGATAGTCTGCTTATCACACCTCAGATGTTTCACTAGTGACCACTGAGAGGGCTTATGGCATCTTTCTGGTGTCTTGTGTTTTCTGCTTCTCTTCTGAGGAATGGAGTCCATTCTTTCTAAATTGCAGACATCAGCTAGAACTATCCTAGGGGAACCTTAAAAGTATGTTACAAAATGAGTTTACATGGGGTGACTAGATAGTCCCTTCTGCATGGGTATCAGCATGTGACCTACAGCAGTGTACACAAATCCAGTGTGTTTTCTGAAAACGTTGGAATTAGTACCCAATAGGCAAGGAGAACATTTCCCTTTTTGAGAAATGCCAAAGCAGAGTTTCCCACGCAAAAGTTGGTTGGGTATGAGCCTCAATGGAAGAGACCTATTTATTTCTTGGAAAAATCTTGAGATTCAAAATGATCTTGTGCTGTGGTATAGTGAAAACACATACCAGAATGTCTCTTGAAGGCTCCCAGGGAACAGTCCAGGAGGCATGATCCATCAAAAAGCTAACCAACTCAGCTGGACTGTAGAGTGCATGAGATATAATCAGACATATACCCACGTGGATTTTTACTTCAGTGGCTGAATTAATCCATCATACTGATGTTCACTTACAACAGAAATACACTACCAATAACTCCACCAGCCCCTGAAATGTCATCTGTTTCCAAGTCACTCTGAAAACAATGCTGACACCACGTCCTTTGATGCCTGAGACTTCCAGTGCTGTGGAACAAGGCCAAGACTTTTTCTAGGTTTGCTGTCTCTAACTTATCAAGAGCCTGAACACCTGCAACATCAGTTTGAGTCAGCCACCAGCCCTAAGCACAACCATAAACTAAGCTTTAGATGTAGGTACATGGTTAAGTCAGTAATGCATGTTAGTAAAGCAATTAGTAGTTCAATTAGTCCTTTAAATGGAGTGTGCTTACGAGCAATATGTTGCCCCAGAAAATCATAGTTTCCTTTCTTATTCACTAAGAGAAAGCACATGAACTCTTTTCTTAACCTCTTCGTCTGCTCTTGCTCTTCATCAGTGTCTAACATTCTTCACATCAATACAAAAACATATAACTATTTCAGAATTAATTAAATCTACTGACCTGCTCTTGACAGTCACAATAAATCTATGCAGAATCTAAAGCTAGCGAACACCAGGGGACGTGGGCTTTCAAATATGCTTTTTCATCCCAGAATTCTCTTCATAAAAATAGATTTTGGTCATAGCTTTTTGTTTTGACAGTAGATCAGCAGTCTTCCTGGCTGATATATTGATTGTAGGGCATCAGTCTTCCTGATCTAATAAAATATCGCAGCACAAGGGAAAAAAAAGGGAAGCTTTTGTCTTCTTGGCAAGTCAGTCTGAAAGCTTTCCAGAATATTGCTTTGCATAGAATGAAAATGGCTGTGGGCCAATGACTAATTATATTAAAGGGTTGTGCTTTTAAATTATTTATGTACCATAATGTTTACCCCGGTATTATTAAAACCACCACATATACTTCTACAAATAAGATTTTGGTTCAGATGAATGTGACAGTCACTCTGTGGATGACATACTATACCAGGAGTTTTTACTTTAATGTAATAAATAGCTTAATGCACATTAACAGATGCATTACTTGTGGTGCACTGCTGCAGAAGGAGATGCAGATGAAAATAATTTACCTCTGGTCTCCATTTAGACACAGAAGATTATGCAACAATAATAAATGTAGGAGCAGACTGCAAAACATTGTTTGAAATGAGGATTTGTCAAACCGGGGATTTTAAACTGCTTTGGATCCAGACGAGGCTAACCAGAAACTTCTTTTGTTTGTGCAGCAATTGCTGAGCATACAGGAAGAATTAAATAACAAAAAATCCGAACTGGAGCAAGCAAAGGAAGAGCAAACGCATACACAAGCGATGCTTAAAGTCCTGCAGGAACAGGTGGGTGATTTTGGCAGGAGAAATGCTGGATTAGGCATGCTAAGGGGAAGGAAGGCGAAACAATTACCTCTGAAAGTCTCGTGGCTTCACCTCCAAAATCCATAGGAGTCTGACCACAGAATATGCTGTGAGCAAGACCTAACCTTATGTGGCCTGTCTGTCTGCTCTGATTAGGCTAACAGTGTTTGAGAAGACAGAGTGAAAAGGGACCCTTACTTTATACTACCCAGTAGTGGATTTCATGTCTTGAGTAGTATTTCCTCTTATGTATACTATATGTGTATCAGTGATAAGTGTTTTTGCTCTGCATTAAAAAAAAAATATTGGGGGAGTTAAATATACCTGAGCCAAAACAACTCTTCATTTCAAGATTAGCACTGGAAAAAAAACACGTTTTGGCATCTCCTGTGTAATTCACATGAGTATATAAAAAAACTTACAGTGGCATTATCATAATGGCATTAAAAAAGTAGTTATCAATGCACTTACTTAAACAGTGAGAATCACATCTCTGTAAATCTGATTATCCCACGTTCTTTGATACTAAAGTGTACTATGACACAGATAAATATATTTGACAGTATTGTTTTATAAGGCTTGTAAGATGGATAGCTACACAGCAAAAAGCAAGTCTGGCCCTAAATCTGTAAATCTAGAGAAGAAACAGTGCATTGTGTGCAAGCACAGTGTGCACAAATATGTGTTTTCTGTATAGACCATGTGGCTTGGACACACTGAAATTGAAAATCCCACCTGTGCTGCACAGGCACAGTCTCTGTTTTGAGACCTTATTTTAACCCTTTCTATATAAACTTCCAGCTAAAATATTTAATGACTTGGTTAAGTATTTGCAGTTTAAGGTCTGTGGGATCTGAATTGCAGAGGTGGCAGAGATTCAAAATGCTGATAATTGCTATGTTAAATATTTTTCATCATGTATGTCTGAGTATGTCTGCAGACAGATGTATGCATTTAATGTACACATTAAGAAAAGTAAATTATGTTTATTTCAGATTTTTAATGTTCACTATGAAAGCTGGGACATTGTTCCACATTTAAGATTTATCTTTTAACACATCTGATGACAAATATATTCTGCAAAGTGATAATTCAGATTCTGGAAGCTTTTATGTTCAGATGCATGTTCTTAGCACTTATGGTCATAGAGAGAACCTAAATGAAAGCTGAGGCAAGACTGTAATACAGAAAATGCCATGAGGAAGAATGGAATTGGTAATGACAGAATCTTTATAAACACAGATTCCACCAGGTCTCTTGAGCTAATTGCATCTCATTTCCATTTTCACATGGCTTTTAAGGTATAGCATTATAAAGTGCTTTAAAAAAAAAAAAAAAAGAAAAACTGAAATTGCATGAAATTATTTTATATCTTTGTAGCAATTATATGTTGCAAAAACATATAGGAAGATCTTGCAATGGGAGGCCTAGTAGGGACCACCAGGGCAGCCTTCTGAATCTCTGCAGACTCTTACTAATTGCAAATCAAATGTGCACTCATGCTAGGCAGACAGGCGAAACAGTAGCTGGAAGAAAGGCAGGATGGATCTGCATTTCTCTTGAGAATCAGTTCTGAAACACGCCTAAGGCCAAGACTGTAAGTAGCCAGAATTCCTGAAGAGTGCTAGGCAGCCAGTGTGCTCCTCCAAGGACCCTGAACGAGTTCCAAAAGTTTCCAGAGCAGCAGAAGCCCTAGCAGTAATGACCCCCACTTGCCAAGACTCACAGCTTTCCTTTACAAGCACAACAGCTTATTTCTGTGTTTTATCCACAATGGGTATTGAAAATCATCCAGCCAAGTCAAGTAAATAGAGCATTTCTTTCAAAAATAAATAGCGCAGGACTCCTGCCTTGACTTTATGGCTTGGTTTTGTGATAGGTTTGCTAAAAACTGCCTTTTCATCCAAAGCTGGCAAAGGGATCCTGCCCTGCCTCACTCAGGGTGTGTTTGCCTGGGGAGGTGCAGCTGTCCGAGCATGGCTGCTCCATGCACCCACCCAGTCACACCCAGCCTGGGATGTCCTGCTGGGAGAAGTCCTGCTTGCTGGTGCCCCATATTGCACCGCTGCAGTCAAAGGCTTCTGAATCACATCTGGCCGTCAGCTCTGCTTGTCTGAGGGATTTACACCCACTGGTTTGAGTCTGGCCTACCCCTGCACAGCATTAGATTTATCAGATACTTCTGATTCCTCATCCCTTCTCCTTCCAGGCAGGCTCCTGGTTGTTGCTGGCACTAGCTCTGTGTGTTGCCTCAGCTAACATCACACTCGCCCCTGATTTACCCTGGAGTCAGAGTAGGGGGCAAGGCAAGTCCCTTTTTTTCCAATATTGTACATTTTTCTGAGCTTCCTGTTCCACCATTTCTCTATTTAACATGTGAGAGAAGAATATAATTTAAATAATAATTTAGAAAAAGAAATTTTGGAAAAAAGGAGACTTCACCCCTTTAACCTATGGGAATGCTCACTTTCTACCCTTAGGTTTTCCACCACTATCTCCACTGGCTCACCTCCACCTCTTCCTGCAGAGGTCCTAGTCCTGGCATGGATGCAAGCACCTTCCTGCCTGAGCTCTGGCATCCTTTTCAGAGCATGGTGTGCAATAAAAGAAATGGAGAGGCTCAAGTATCCTCTCTGCATTGTGTTCACTGATGAAGCAGTGCCAGGGCTATGATGGAGGGAAACCATGGTGGGGCTCAGCCTGCAAGACCAAAGTGGGCTGCAGGCTGAGCCCAGTCTCCCATCAAACCCGTGTGTGGCTGATGGGATGTGGCATGTCACCACAAGAGCACTTTGCCAGCGACCCACAGCCACCAAGGGGTGACGGCACTTTATCAACCTGGAAAGGGAAAGGCAAAGCACAAGCAATGAACAGCATTCCTTGAGTGTTCAAGACACTTTCATCAGCATGCAGAACAGTTTCACAAAACCAAGCATGCTCTCCTGACCTCATATTTAGATGAGTGACTCAGCTGGACCCAAAAGGACTGCTCATGTTGGGTGAATTTCTATAAAGAAGAAGTGGCAGAATCAGGAAACAGCTCTTCCAACATCTCACACTGCGATGCATAAATACCTAATTCTGGTGCTTGGCAGGAAGTAGCCATCTCAGCTCATTCCTACCAGCTCTCTTTACAGTGAGGTGGTTTCACAGGATGGTTATTTTTTCAGGGTAGGGAAAACATGTAGCATTCATTGGAAATGCACCACCCTGCTGTCAGTTGCACACTTCTTGAGGCTTTTGAAAGATGAGCTTCAGCGAATTGAACCAGGAGACCTCATGATTTTGCAGTCCCCAGATACCCTTTGTACTATTTTATCAGAAAGTGCTTCCCTCTTCCCTCGCCATCAGGACCAGTTTAGTGGCTTGAGCAGCAGTTCCTGAATTGGTGCAGATCACAGCCCTGCATCGTAAGGTACAAACAGACCATGGCCTGCTTACCTTAATTGTCAGACTGGAAACTGAACTGCTCAATCACATTCAGTTCAGCTTTTGCTGCCACGTAGCAAAAATATGATGGAGGTAACCAACACCCCTAGATGGTAGTCCACCAACACTTCTGAGTCAGACACTAATCAATACATATTAGTGTTCAATCTCATAAGGATTTTAGGAGTGTTGCCAATCAGAGCCACAGCTGTAGAATCAACAGTTACATCAAACCCAGCTTCTTCAGCAAAAAAAGGAATTCAGAGGAAAGTTGTGTTTATTGTTCCCCATCCCTCCCCTCTCCCTCCATCCCCCTGCTCCACATGATATCTAATGTGAATTAAATTACAATAAAATCATGACTCTTTAGAGATTAACCTAAAGAGCAAATGATTCTGTGAGTTTCATTTAAGTGTACAAACCTCCATGGCTTACAGGCTCAGGAGAGCTGCGGTGTCTCCTCTTTGCTCTGTTTGCTCAATCACAGGATGAACAACAGCATATTTCATTGTGGCTCAAGATGTGAGCCAGGACTTTCCTTAAATCTCCTGAGAGTGATCTTTACAATTCCAATGTAATCCTGGATTTTCCCCTAAAAGCTAATTCAGGAGGGAAAAAAAATCTGTTTAGGTCATATATTTGCAGTGTCTCCTCAGTTCTTCCTGCCACTAGTTAAATAAAAGAGCTGTTCTTCACTTCCCCTCCTTTTCCATCATACCCAGGAGCCATGTCAGTTATTTAGGTACGTTGTCAGGAAGACAATATATAGTAGCACTTCGGCATCTTACCTCAAAATATATCATTCAAAAGTAATCATTGGCAAAACACTATTTAGCTAGTGGCAAGTTGCAAATATTGTAAAGTTTAAATTAATAGCAACAACAATGGGAAATTAAATTGTTTATTATTCTTGAGAGAGAAATCTGTGCACCTTTTATGCCTTGAAACTACTTTCTAATCTTATTATTTAAAAAATAATGACCCAGTTGTATTATTTTTCTTTTTTTTTTGCCAACCTATCAAGCCTTAAGTATGTTGGTTTCAAAATGGTTTGAGCAAAAACTCATTAGAATTATATGCTCCATCTGTTTTTCTCATTGGAAGCTTTATAAAATGCTCCTTCAAATAAATCAAAGATAACTGTGTGAAATACTGAAGTAATGTGCTTGTTTTGTTCTGTTTTGGTTTTTTTCACTCTTTGCAGTTAAAAAGCGCCAAGGAATTAGCAGAAATCAATGGGCATGATGAATCTCAAGCAAATGTAGGTACATCTGTTTATATATAGATTTAATACATGTATGTGTATGGTCTCAAATTTACTATGTATGTCTTAAAGCTGATAGAATGGCTGAATGATTTGTACATCAAGTTTGAAGTGTCTGGTTTTTTTTCTTGAAGCCACAGGTTCAAATCCTAACAAACTTCATTCGAAGTAGATAAATTGGGTTCCATGCAATTTACTTTGTAGGATTTATTTGGATGAGACTTTAACAACCAGTGTCCTACTTGCTCTATGTGGGCGTTAAAGATACCATGGAAACGACTGCAAAAGAAATGCTTTTCCTTAGTGTCCTGTCCAGGATTAGTCAAGCTACAAAGCTATACCATTTGTCTCTGTGGCTGCCACCTTGCAGCTGGGCAGGCCTGGCCATATTTCAGTTCTGAGTGAAGTGGTTTGTATATGTGTATAATTTTGAAACAGTCAATTTTCACAAAAGAACTAAATTAATTCATTGAATCATTATTTTGTCCAAAAACATTAAAGGACTCTTAAGGTCTTGTTTTTTAGAACCTGCTGCCGAAAAAAAAAAAAATTGCTTCTGTTATTCCCTTAATGATTGCAGTCAAAACAGCAATTTCCATAAGGGGGAAGAGAAAAAAAAAGGAGTTTCTTGCTATGTTTGTCATCCAAACGTGCAGTCTTGTGCTTTTTCATAAACATATGAGTATTAAAACCAACTACATGTGATATCTTCCTCCTGGCCGAGTCAATTAGCAACAGTTTAAGCACTAATATATTAACATCTGGTTTAGTCCATGTGTTTTCTAAAGGCTCAGTCAGGAAAACAGTTCTATTTTAAACCTGAATGGAAGGCTCAAATTTTGCAAACTGCTTTTTTGATAAGGAAATGTTGTTGTTGTTTTTTAATCCTTTCCTAAATCTCATTCATTGTGATCCTTTTCCGCAGTGAAGTCGATAGAGCCTCGTAGCTCTCAGCGTTTGGACAGGAGACATTCAATATTGTCTGATAGCTCCAACAAATCTGCAGCTGCAGACTGTCTGCACACCATCCCATTGCCCCTTTGAAAGATTCTGTTTGCAAACCAAAAATACATTAATCCAATCATGATCTTGAAATATTCACATACACTAGCTAAAAGCTATTGGTTGTTGTACAATAGCTGGTTGCAGGTTTCCCAAAGGAAATCCTAGAGGAATATCTACATGTAAGTCTTAGAAACTCTCTAAAAGAACTTGTAAAAGAACTTGCTTCCTCACCAAAAATGTGGATGAAACAATGCTTTGCAGTATTGAAATGTTTTAAAGGGAAATTACCTGAAAGCTTCAAGTTGTAACATTTTGGCTCATATATAACTGGATAAACAGAAGTACTTGAAAGTTTTGTATTTATATAATACAAAGCTTGAAATAGCATTAAAAGGAAACATTTCAATTGTGTTAAGAGAGTATTTCAGTATATCATTCCCAGATACCTAGAACAAAATATTTAAGAATCTTTGTTTGATAGTAAATTTTTCAAAATGTTGTATTTTGATCTAGTTTGTAAATGTGTAAGTTCCTCAAATGCCTAAATTTTCCATAGGATAGAAAGTCTGTTTCCTGCTGCTCTTTTCTCTTCCCCAGCTGATCTCATAGCAATATATGACTCTTAAGAAAAGAAGTCAATACCTAGATTAATGGCAAAGAGGGAAACCAGATAGTTACAATTATTGAGTCACAGTCGCAGCCATGTATTCAACAATAATACCACCGTGAAATCAGAGAAAGCACAGCAGTACAAATGGAAATAGAGAAATAGAGGGAAAGAACTGATGTTAAAACATTTCCTACAATAATGAACTTTGTAAAACGGAAGCTGAAGTGCCTTTTAAACAATTGTCATTTATATCAAATATGTAGCAGTCAGGTTGTGCCTTGCAGGTTGTCTCCACATACATTCTCAGCAGACTCTGTGGGTTTTGCCCCTGGCCACTGTGCAAATCAGGGATGATCAAAGAGAAGAAGGCTTGGTGGTTCCTACGTAGTTCTTAGTGAACTGTGATGCATATAATTGGATTAGGACATATTTGTTACAGATGACAGGTTGAATTCAGCAAATGAAATACCTCTACATGCTGAGCAGTAGTGGGAGGTGTTGGTAAGGAAAAATGGCAACGTATGCCTGTTCACTGAACACACAATCTTATCTTCACACTGTGGCATATTTAGATTACTTACTCTGCAGAAAATCAGGCTCCTAGAAAGGACAGAAGAAACTTTAGGCACAGTGCATAAACATCAAGAAAGCCCATACTGTAACCTTAAAGATTACATTCTTCACTCAGGATTTCTCCTGGTGGTATTAGTCTGTGTCATCTTTTACATTGGAAAATGGTGTTATTTAAAATAAAGGTGGAAATATTTTTCTTAGCAAAATCAGATATGGATGAAAATGTATACTGAGACCTATCCTGGTCTTTTACATATGCGAGACCATCCTGAAAGGGAGACAAAAATCTGGACACCTTTGGAAAAATAAAAACTTCCCTCCTGAAGTAATTTATAGGTGCTCAACCTAAAAATTGACCTTCATTTTTTTTCTCTTGTTTTTGCAGGAAAATTAACTAAGTTGATTAAGAGGCTGGAGCAATTGCAATGTTACATTCCCTGCATGTCAGTTCATGCACAAATCTGCGGGGGTGGAATAGAACAAAATTTTAGTGTATTGCCAGTACATCTATTATTTCCAGAAAGCAAAACCATCTTACAAGGTTCTGTACAGAGTCATAAGGGTGTTTCATGAGTGATTTGCCAGGTACATGCAGTAATATTTGTTATGGCTGTTGACATTTCCCAGCTATACTCTGTGTCAGGAAAGGCCAAATGTCGGGCTCAGGCAGTACACAAAGCCCAGGATTCTGGCCAGGTGTTAACAGAGACTTCAACAGCCAGCACTGCCAGAGGTTCTGTCACTGAGTGCTCATTTCCATCACTCCTGTGCTTGGGAAGAGATCAGTCCTTGCTTCTAATCTGACCCCCTTTTCATTTCCTCTTTGTTGCTGCATATAATGGAATTTCATTCACATCTCTGTCTTAACTGAAGTGAAAATAATGACCAATGGACAATCATAATTTCAGATATAATCCTCTTCAAGGATGTTCCCAGACTCTTGGGGCCTGAATACATCCAACATGGAAAAAATAGTCTTGCTTGAGAGCTGTGCTCAAGTAGAGACCATTTTGCAATTTGAAATGCTAATCACATGTTTTGTGACTAACTCTACAAAGACAATTCATTCTTCTACTCTTTCTGTAAGTTCAGGGGCTTTCTGTGAAGTCTCTAGTACACAAATTAATTCTGTGTTTTGATCAAAGATCTCCGTTTGCTCATTTCTGAATTCAGTATAGATATGGCACTGCATGCAAATACAGTGACTGCATCCCTGGTTTGGGGGTCAGAAGGTTAACATCCATGGTATCCTTCTACTATAAATGGAGAAAGGAGGATTTTTTTTTATACAAGTCTCATTTTAGAATTACTTGGTAAGTTTGTTGCTCTCCGTTGTCAGCTATCTGCCTTCCTTAGATGGCTGCTGTGAATAATTCCTACCCTTCGTAAAACTGCTGCAAAATTGTAATCAAGACTATCAGTTTGCCACATTCAGACCAAAGCAAGACATGGGTGATGGTCACAGAAGCATTTTGAATGTCGATTGCAATTTCAAGGCAAAGTCCTGACATTTTTGAAGTCACTAAAGAAATTCCCATCAGGTTAAAAAAATCAGAATTTTGCCAAAAGACTTTTAGGGTTACCTCATTATCACCAAGACATAATCAAATTAATATATTTCAGAGAACTGATTTCACCACAAAGTTTTTCTTGACCAGCTTTTTGTTCTGTTTGAGTTTCACTGTTTGAACAAAGTACTGACTTTGACTGCATTTGTCTGTCTGCCTTCAGTTAGTGTCTCCTGCAGCTTGGACACAATGTTCTGTGGGTTTTTCTCCAGACACAAAATCAATAATATTAAGTAGGGATGCATTTTTCTATTTGAATGCTTGAAGCTGTTGTCAGAGCATTTCTTGAGTCCAACCAAGCATCTCACATTTAATCTTGATTCTTCCTTTAATTTTTGTCTATTGTGCTTGCTTTTGAAGCAGTTTCCAAATGATCCGTGACTCTGAGGAGGGGGATATATCACTGCATTGCTCACTTTATACCAAAGTGATGATATTCCTAACCATGCCCTATATTTCTCTTTTCATGGAGTAGGTTAATCACTGATGATCTTCATCAAAGAAAAGATGGTTCTTAAGTGAGGCTTTCTTTTCCAACAAGTCAGGCAAACATTTAAAAAGCTAACCCACTTATACTTTTGGAAAAGTCTGTAATTCCATCAGACTCACCAGAGTTCACTTCTTGTACTTCACTCTGCAAAGCTTTAATTTAAGCATCTAAGGGTGCCTGCTGTGAATATCTCATATTACTGTATGTGTTAGTACACACATGCCATTTGATGTGGCAGCTCCACTTAGTGTGGAGCATCACATTGAGCCAGGTGAGATGGAAAGCACCCTGAGCACAGGGAGAGGAGCAGGAGCTAGAAGAGTGCAAAATTCTCCCAGTAGTTTAGGAGTATGAGATAGAAGTTGGTCATCATTATGATGAAGATCCCAAGTGATTGCTGATTCTTCTGCTTCACTTCCTTGTGCGTGCAATAGTCATTTCCTGCTTTTCCCACTCTTCAAAGGCTTGCTCTTCCTAGAACAGCACAGGCTTGCAGTAAAAAATGTGCTCAATGTGGCTTATATAAGAGAAATTTGAGTCTAAAATTAAAGGCCAGAAAATCCCAGTGCAGGTCTTGCAGATTTCAGGATTTTTTGTGTTTTTCTTTCCTGTCTGAGCTTCCCAAGTTTGTAGGCTGTGAACCTTTTCCCCAGCAAACTGATGTTAGTCACTGAGTACCTTCCTTGGGCTCCCCCAGTGAGGTCCTCTGGCCTTGCAGCAGGCATTTCTGGAGCACAGGGGTGTGATTGGG